GCAGGTGGGCTTCCAGTTCCTTGATCCTCGTCGCGGAGTTTGACGGTATCGTGCAGGCAAGGGAGCGAAGAGTGGTACTTGGCCGCCGCCGTAGGATCCACTAAGGGACCGGGCCGGAGGCTCTTACACCCTGGTGACCAATGCAACCCACGGCGAGACCCTCCAGGCTTCCCGAAGCGGGCAGGAGCCGTGATCAGCATAGCTTCACTCGGTTGACGGCCTGGGTGCGGCTTTGATGGCCGGTCCTTGGCCGCCTTGAGCATTCTGATCATTTCCACTCTCGCCCTGGCCTGTCTTGGGGTAGCATTGGCCACTGGGCCGCGAGCACGCCCGTGCCGCCATCTCCGCGTCTGTGGGGTCGCTCTTTTCCCTTCCGATAGCGTGTTGACCGGTCAGGCCGGTTGACCTCGACAACGGCATGCCCCCGGCCGGTCAAGAAGCGGGCTAACCCCACCCGTAGGAACCCGTGCCTTCAATTCCGAAAGCACGGACCCGGCCTATGCCTTGGGCCCACCGCTCGATTTCCTGATACCCGCCGTGGTTTGCTGGCGCTTCCTGCTTGTCCAGGCGGACGCCCAGCCGGTCAATGGCACGTCCACGTGCCGCTCCTGGTGAGTATCGACTCTACAATAATCTTGGTCGGAGATCCCCTTTTCGTATCTTAACGGCGCCAGTCATTTCTACCTCCTGCTGGGTGACACACAGGCCAGATGAGCGGCAAGACTGCGATGGGGCCTGAGGCCAAGCGCCTATTAGGTCACTGCTCACCTGAACCTTTTCACTCTTTAGCCACCGCACTGCGCCAGTCGACAGATCATTTTTGAAGCACGCCAGCCAGTCACCCCAAGGGGTCAGACCTGAGCGAGGTGGCTCGGGTCATCATCGCCGCACCTCATGAGGGAAGTGACATGAATCAGTCGAGAATCTAGCAAGATTCATCTCTCAGTACTCAACATCCACCGTGCTGGAACAGCACCTTTTCGATAAGGCTGGCAGCGGAGATCATGGGAATCATGAGGCGTCACAACACAACGGCTGCTGGCAGCCTACAAAAGGAAGGGTCACGGCGCTGGCCCACGCAACCGGGGACGGAGGCCCCCACAACGCCGTGCCAGAAGACGCCGCGGCCGCCGTGGTGAAGCTGGCCAGCAACGGCTACGCGGGCGCCAACCACAGCCACTTCACCGAACTGCTGCAGGAACGGGAGGGGATCGACCTGAGCCGTCCCACGGTGCGCCGCATATTGGTGAAGGCCGGCCTGGGCAGCCCCCGCAGTCGCCGGTCGCAGCAGCACCGGTTCCGCCGCAAGCGCATGCCCCAGGAGGGGATGCTTATTCAGGTGGACGGCAGCCCCCATCCCTGGCTGGAGGACCGGGCAGACAAGTTCGTGCTGCTCCTCGCCGTGGACGACGCCACCAGCACTGTGGCCCAGGCGGTCTTCCATACCACCGAGGACACGCGGGGCTATCTGGTCCTGCTGGAGGGGCTGGTCCGCAGTGGGGGATTCCCCTCGCCCTGTACAGCGATCGCCACGCCGCCTTCAGTACAACGCCCGCCAGGGGCCGGTCCTTACGAGTCCACCCAGTTCGCCCGGGTGATGCGGGAGTTGGGCATCCAGCAGATCTTCGCCATGTCACACCAGGCCAAGGGCCGTGTAGAAAGGATGGCCTCCACCTTCCAGGACCGGCTGGTCACCGAGCTGCGCCTGGCTGGCGCTACTACCATGGAAGAGGCCAATGCCGTCCTGCAGGAATATCTGCCCCGGTTCAACAAGCGGTTCGCCGTGGCGGCGGAGCGGCCCGAGAAAGCTTACCGGGCGGTACCCGCCGACCTGGATCTCACCGAGACAGTCAGCATCAGGCACACCCGCAGGTGGCCCGGGATAACGCGGTGAAGTACCAATGGCGGGTCCTGCAGTTGCTGCCTGGGGAGGAACGGCCTTCCTATGCCGTCTCCGGGTGGACCTGCTGGAACGGGCCGATGGGGAACTGTTGATCAGATACCAGGGGGAGGCCGTTGATTACCAGGAAGCGCCGCTGCGGTCCCCGGCATTATGGGGAGAAGCAGCGCAACCTTCCCCACTCCGGAAGGACCAGAGGCAACTGAAGAGCGGATCACCGGACATCTGGATCGAGACCAGCGGAAGCTCCTGGCGGACCTGGAGTCCTCGGTGGAGAAGCGGGCCAAAGCCAAGGCCGCTGCCGCCAAGGGAAAACCCCTTCGCCACCAGTTGCGACGTACGCCTACTGCCACCCAGCAGGCCCGCTGGGAGGCGGTGCAGAAAGCCAGGAAGCAGGGACTGTCCCTGCGGGCCATCTCCAGGGAACTGGGCATGTCCCGCGACACCGTCGGGAAATACCTTAAAGCGGACAGTCCGCCCACCAAACTGCTCAGCGCCAAGGAACGGGCCAAGGCCGAAGCCCTGAAGGAAGTCCAGATGGCCGCCGACTAACCATAGTGACATTTTCGCTTTTCAAAACAGGGGACGTAATCGCTGGACAACAACATAACGACACTCGACCTCTCGGCAGAAGAGATGCTGGCCACGGTACGGGCCCACTGGAGCATCGATAACTCCCTGCACTGGAGCCTGGACGTGACCTTCCACGAGGACCAAAGCCGGGTGCGCAGGACCACGGTCCCCAGAACTTTGCCACCCTGCGTAACATCTCCCATAACATGCTAAAACGGGAGACCAGCCTGAAGGTAGGTATACAGGGCAAACGCCTCCAAGCCGGTTGGCGGGAAGATTACCTGCTTAAGGTCCTCCTCAGTTAAGACGCGATTGCCCTGGCGGGCCGGCGCCTCCGGATGACAACCCCCATTTCAGCAGTTACCATTGCAGGCAAGGCAGGGCCATGCGCCCCATGCCCTGCCGCTTGACCCCAATTTAGTGCGCACAGAGCGTGTAGAGCATGGCAACGGGGAACGATTGAACACAGATAAAAATAGCTTCCACAATGGCGATATGGCCCTGCTGCTGGACCGAAAAGACCGGCGCTACCTCATCACCCTGGCCGACGGGCAGGTCTTTCACTGTCATTTGGGCCGGTTGGCCCACGACGGTCTGATCGGTCAGTCGGTTGGTGGTTGGTATCGCACCGACCGGGGCCATACCCTGCTGGCGGTAAGACCCACGCTGGGAGAATTCGTCAGGCAGATGCCCCGGGGACCGCAGATTATCTACTCCAAGGACCTGGGCAACATTGTTGCCTTTGGCGACATTTTCCCCGGCGCCACCGTGATTGAGTCGGGGCTGGGATCGGGGTCGTTAACCGCCGCGCTGCTGCGGGCCGTGGGCGAAACCGGCAGGGTCATCACCTATGAGATAGATGAGGCCGTGGCGCCCCGGGCCATGTCCAACATCCAGCGGGTGATTCCCAATACTGCAAACTTGACCATAACCATCGGCGACATTTACGAGGGCATCGAGGAGCACCAGGTTGACCGGGTAGTGCTGGACGTGCCGGAACCCTGGCAGGCGGTGGCCGGAGTAGCCGAGGCCCTGATCATGGGCGGAATGTTGATCAGCTTTTCTCCTACCGTACTGCAGGTGCACCAGTTGGTGGGCAAGCTTCAGGAGGACGGCAGGTTCCAGATGATAGAGACTGTCGAGACCCTGCTGCGGCCCTGGCACGTTACCGAGCGGAGCGTGCGGCCGGCCCATCGCATGGTGGCCCACAGCGGGTTTCTGACCACCGCCGTACGGTGCCAGCCCCGGGTGATTGGCACTGCTACCAATCCGTTGCCCCCAACTTCCGAACCGGCGCCCCCAACTTCCGATGAACCGCAGGAAGAGTAGAGCACCAGAAAGGAGACCTTAACTATGGATGTGATGGATCGCGATCATACCCTGGAGTTTCTAAACCAGCATGTGAAGACCGACATGCTGATGAAGCACCTCTTCACCGTGGAGGCGGCCATGCGGGGCTATGCCCGAAAGTACAGTGGGGACGAGGAACTCTGGGCCATTGCGGGCTTGCTGCACGACTTTGACTGGGAGATTTGCCCCACCCCTGAATCGCATCCCACCTTCGGCGCCGACATTCTCCGTGAACATGGTTACCCGGAGGACATCATCCGGGCAGTGTTGACCCACGGCGAACACACGGGCATCCCCCGGGAATCGCTGATGGAGCACACCCTTTTCGCGGTGGACGAACTGTCCGGCTTCATCCGTGCCGTAACCCTGGTGCGCCCCAACAAGAGCCTGGACGACGTAACACCCCGCTCAGTGCACCGGAAGCTTCGGGACAAGAACTTTGCCAAGGACGTCAACCGGGAAGACATCATTAAGGGCGCGGAGGAACTGGGCGTGGACCTGGGACGAGCACATCAGCTTCATAGTGGAAAGCATGAAGCCGATTGCCGAGCGCATAGACCTGACTGCCGGCAATACGGGCGAGGATTAATACCTCGCCCGATATTCTAAAGACGCGCAGGCTTTTCCTTGAGCAGGGCCTAGTTCAACAGAAGCCACTGAATGATTCCAAGGATTATCCAGGGGATGAAACCAATGACGCCGGCTATAACAACCACCAGGATGGCCCGGCCGGTGCCCTCGAAGTCCATGGCCTGGCGAACACCCATTACCGCTGCGGCCATAGTCCAGAAAAAGGCGGCTACCGAAAACAGCCAGCCAACACCCGGCACCCAGGAGAAAATGGCTAGAACACCGGGGGTATAGGCAAACCCCAGGACCCGACCAACTTCCGACCAACTCGTCTGGGTGCCGGAGGACCGCAGCAACCCGCCACCTACCATCAATATTACGGTCACCCACAACGCCCAGCGGACGATGCCGAAGGCCAGACCATAGCACAGGCCCAGAATTATGTCCTTGGCCGTTGCGTCGCCAATGATACCGCCAACCAGACCGCCTATGACGCCACAGATGGTGACCAGGATGACGACACCAATGGCCTGTCCCAACGCACTCTGGTCAGCTTCTACTTCCTCGTAAGTGTGGGCGTTGAAAAGCGCCGCGCCTATCATCCGTTGAAGCATCACTCCACCTCACATTTCCTGGATTGTCTCGCAGAACACCCGGATTATACCCACGAACCTTCCGGGAATGTACTGCCTTTATATTCAGAATTTATGCAAATTTGTTTCCCTACAAACCACCCCATATTTGTTTCCATAGGGATTGGTGGGGCCAGTCGTCGCGAAGGGCTATTCCGTTCCCTCTGAACGTCCGGAAAATTGGGACTGAACTGGCTTTAGGTATCCCCAAAAGGGCCGGACCACAGGTCGGTCAGCTCAAACTCTTGAATCGCCGGCTGACCCCACCCTTCAGGCAAGGATATATGGCGATCGGTCATAAAGGGCACGGGCAACGACCCGACTAGCTTGCGGGCTTCTTCCGAAGGCTCCAGGCCCCACAACGCCGGCCGCTCGCCGCCGGTGGAAGCAGGCAGATTCTTGCCTTGGACCAGCGCCTTGAAGTCGCCCAGGCCGTCGGGGCGGGCGAGGGCCAGCAGGCCGGTCCGATTGTCCGCAGGCTGGGGTCCTTCACCAAGCCCGGGGCGAGGGGATGGGTTCCGGTCGTTGAGGCGGCGGCGGAAGTCGTCCAGCCCCAGGTTTTGGAGGAACTGCCGCTGGGTGGTGTAGCCTAGCGGTTCCAGACCGGCCCGGCGGCCGGCATTAACCAGGGAAGTGTAGTCCACCTGGGCGGTGATGTCCTGGTCGCCGATGTGGCGGAGGGGAGCGTCGGTCTGAACGTGGCGGTAGAAGGTGGTTAATGTGCCCCTTGGCCGCAGTTCCGCCGAATAGAGTTCTTCAGCGGTCCGTCCGTAATCAATGGTCAACAGGAATCCGGCTTCAAGGGCATCGGCGACCGACTGAACCCAGCCGTCAAGTCCCAGGCTGATTTCGGCGGTCTGCCCCTCTGCCAGATTCAGGCCCAACAACTCCAGCCGGGCCGCCAGGGCCGGGGTGCTGGGTTCGCCCAACAACTCCACCAGCGGTCCTGCCGCACCCTTCGTCCCGCCTGCCTCGGTTATGTAGACTTCCCTCAATTCACCATTTTCAACCCTGACCTGGTGTACGGGAAAAGCGTCCAGCAACTCGTTGGAAAGGATGCAGCCACGCAGGTTGCGCAGGGGAATGCCGCCGGCTCTTATTGGCGATGCCGCCGGTATGTCCCGCAGGGCAAAGCCGCCGCTGCGGTCGAGGCACAGGTATCGCAGGCAATTGGAGAAACCAGCGGGAAAGTCTGCTGCAGCAGCCAGGATGTCGCGGCAAAGCTGGCCGTTGCCGGACCCCAGTTCCACCACGCAGAAGGGGTCGGGGGAGTCCAGCAACTGCCAGAACTGGTAAAGCTGCACCGCCAGCAGGGCGCCAAAGGCGGGGTGGAGCATGGGCGAGGTGTAGTAGTCGCCGGTGGAGCCAAAGGGCCCGGTGTCCAGGCAGCCCCGGGAATAGTAGCCGCCCCGCGGCCAGTAGAGAGCTACGTCCATGAACTCGGCAAAGGTGATGGGGCCGCGCTGACGGATGCGGCCCCGGATTTCGGATTCGGCAGTTACTGTCATTTTATCCACGAAGAGGCGCGAAGAATCACAAGGGAATTATACCGGGGCAACCGTGAAAATTCGTGCCTGTTCGTGGAACGGGAGTGCAGAAACTTAGGAGGGCAGAAAAATGGTAGCCAGCATTCCCAGCACCCACACCGCGCCAAACATGGCAAAGATATAGAAGACCCATTTGCCAATTTGCTCGTCACTTCTTCTCATACGGCTATACGCTCTATGCCCTCTCATGATGCCTCCGATTCATCACTATTTCTTATAACTACCTCGTCATACATAAATTATAATTGGCCTACATCATTGCCGTCAATACTTAATATTGTTTATATTGGGCTACAAAGTATTAGTAAGAGTGGGCGGGAATACGGGGCAAAGGAACGGTTGAGTAGCCGGAACGAAGCTGAAGACACTGGAATGGATACTGGGAGACATGTCTGGGGTTCCGGACCAGGACCCATCGCAAGGATTCCGGGCCCCTCGACACGGTCACGGCGACATCAAGGCATATGGGAACCACAGACAGGATGACGCGCGAATGCCATTTGGCCCAGGCAGACGCTGGCGTAGGGTGAGGGTTGATTTGCACCGATTGCGGGGATTGCCGGGGCGGTCAAGGCGGGCCTGTCCCGGGCGAGGCGGCCCGTCAGCATCTAGTCGGGAGTGAGGGGAATGGCGCACGAGAATCCGGCCAGCCTCAGATTGGCGAAGCTCCCGGCGTTTTTTGTCGACGTTGACGCACCGGCGGTGTCCTCTTCCCCGATTGCAAGTTCGGGGCACTCCAGGGACAGGACTTTTTCGTACCCCGCCTCGGGCAGCATGGTTACCGCGTGCAGCACCCGGTACTCGGCGACGGCCGTGCCCGCCAGGGCCAGGGCCGCCACCAGGGCAAACACTGCCAGGAGGCGAAGGACGGCGTTGGCCCAAGGACTGCGATTCCCACCTATTCGGATGACCCTTATTTTGGCAAGCATGATCCACCAGCCACATAGTCACTTACTATATAAGTGAACGCTTATATTTAGTATATCTTTGATAATCTTTGTATACAATACCTAGTATCACAAGACCCGAATAGAGTGGTGGCGGAATCAAGTAATCGGGAAGCGGGGTGTGCCCTGATCAGAAGCTGTTAGTGGTGCGATGCAGGGGGAAGGCAGATCTTTGACGGGAAGCTGAGGTTAGTCCCCGGCCAGTTCACCCAGCGTGGCCTGTTCGCCCTCGGAGCGGCGGACGCGGGCGGCGGGCTGGTAGGAAGACTGGCGCGGCGGCAGTTCAAAGCCCTGGCCGGCCAGAAGCTGGTCGATGGTGCGCAACTGTATCTTGGGGTAGTCCCGCTGCCACAGGTCGGAGTGGTAGAAGCCGCCGGAGGCTTCCTCATCCCGCATGTTGCGGGTGGGTTCCTGCAGGGGATATGAACAGACCCAGGGCCGCCTTCTCCCGTTCCACCACGCCCTTCAGGTCGCGAATGTCCCGCACCTGGGTTCCGCCGCCCTTCACCTGCACCACCACCTTCTGGGGCGTGCGGCGGGGGCCGTCGATAAAGTAGAAAACGCCGTCGATCCCCCGGTCGGCGCCCCGCTTCTGCTGGTCCTGGGGCTGGGCTTCCAGCAGGGAGACGGCCCAGAACTGGAATTGGTAGGGGTCCTGCTCGAACATAGCCCGGGCGCTGCCCACGTCCTGGGGCTCACCCACCACACTGTAATCAACACCCGGGTCCAGGTTGAACATATCCTTGAGGCGGGACTTCATCAGGGCCACGGCCAGGTGGGTGACGTCGATGCCCAGCCATTGGCGGTTGAGCTTCTGGGCCGCCGCCACCGCCGTCCCGCAGCCGCAGAAAGGGTCCAACACCACGTCCCCCTCGTTGGAAGAAGCCTGGATGATGCGTTCTAGCAGGGCTTGGGGTTTCTGGGTGGGGTAGCCGAGACGTTCTTTGTGAGATCCTGAAAGGGAAGTGATATCGGCCCAAATGTCCTGTACTGGGACCCCTTTAGATTCATCCAAATAGAGCTTTTGGCGCGGGTAGCCTGTCCTTGAGTAATAAAGACGCCCTTCATCGTGCAGTCGTTGCATCGTATCGATGTTGTAACGCCAAGCACGTGTATGACCGTTCCATTCATAAACAGGGTTTCCCTTCTCGGCACCGCCAGGTCCCGTCAAGGGAGTAGTCGTAAAACTGCGGCCAGTGTTTTCGTCTAGGTTCCGGTATGTAGACGCAACGTACTTTTCGTCTAAAGGAACGAATACTTGGTTCCAAGTAGGGTTGTCTGATTTCACATAGAACAACAATACATCGTGAACACGCCCGTAGTGTCGAGACCCTTGCCCAACATCGTTGTGGCTTCCATAACGACGCCAAACTACTTCATTACGAAAATTCCTAACCCCAAACACCGTATCCAACACAATCTTCAAGTAATGGCTGGCGGTGGGGTCGCAGTGCAAATAAAGGCTACCGGTGGGCTTGAGGACACGGCGCAATTCCACCAGGCGGGGCGTCATCATCACCAGGTAGGCCATCATGGCGTTGCGCCCGATGAACTGGCGGAAGGCGGCAATCATCTCCTTCACCGCCGGGGGCGTGCCCGAATGCTCGATAATGTCCTGCTCGAAGGTGCGTTCCGTCTCCACCGTCCACTCCCAGGTATCGGTGAAGGCCTTAATCTGGGCCTGGGATTCCTCGCCCGACTTCTCGCGGAAGAGAACGTTGTAGGAAGCGTTGGAGTTAAAGGGCGGGTCCAGGTAAACCAGGTCCACCGACTCGTCGGGGATATGGTCGCGAAGCACCTGAAGGTTGTCGCCGTAGAAGAGGGCGTTGGGCATTAGCTAATCGCTGTCCCATCCTTGATTTGTTCCAAAATAATCCCAATGCCGCAACGGAGGGTTTCCAGGGTCTTGACCGCCTCCGGGTCATTTTCCAGGTATTCCGGCCAGGCTTCCATATAGTCCAGGTATCCAGTTCCGTTGGAAGGCCGCAATTGGGCATCCAGGTCGGCCAGGCTACCGTGGAGAGGGACTTGGTGGACATCGCCCCCGCTCAGCAAGGGTTCAATGGCCTTGCCCAGCAACCGCCGGGTGTGCCCATAGACCTCCACGCCGATAAGCGCTCCGGTGGAATCCAAGTCCAGGTTCACGCAAGGGTAAATCTCGACCACTTCTGCCGAGAAGCTGCCTTCAGTCAAGCCGAGAAGGTCAAGCCCCGCATCATAACTCACTTTCAGGCTCATTCAAACGCACCCATCGCCCTGTTTGCAGTCGGTTCTGCTGTTGGCCTTCTTTGATGGGAAATATGGTAACCAACCAGATAACATTGTCTTGTATTTCGTAAGCTACCGCAACGTCGCGCTCGGCCCCCAGAACATACAGCCGCTTGACGGCAATAATATAGCCACTCTGCGTATCGTGATAGTGGGCATCGGGATTTTGCAATACCTGTTCGCCAGAGCCTTCCGGGAGTGAACGGAGGGTCCGCCGGTAATTGAAATGAGGCGAGTATCGAATTTCGGAGTCAGGGGTCAAGAAACCAGCAGCAAGCCCACTGTCCGGCTAACGTGGCAACGGTAGAAGAGGGTGTTGGGCATGGGGTTAGATCTTCGCCATTTCCTCAGCGTCTCGAATGAATTCTATGGTTTCCCGCACGTCAGCAATAATGTCCTCTTCCGGTTCCAAGATCCCGTCGTAGAAACACCCTCCATGCAAGAAGGACTGGCGGTAGCCGTAACGCTGGCGCAATGGCTCAAGAGAAGGTTCTTGCCTTCGTAATTCCCCAATCGTGCGCTTAGTCTGACAGAATGTGGCGGTTCTTCCGCCGGAGCAAACAAGGTCAAGGCACGGTTGGGCAACTGGTGGTCTAATTTGCTTTGATAGCGAGAGCAGACATCCCGCCTAGTGTGAGTGTTGTCATGCCTCGCAAGTGCAATGTCTCAGTGACGGCGGACGGGAGGTTTATTGTGACGTCTGCAACCAGATGTTCCCGTCATCAAATAACTTGCAACGCATTCTACGACTTTAGGCATACAAAACGGAATATCTCGGAATCCTATGCAAAACCCCTCCACCAGTGGCGGAGGGGTTCGCTTTCCTCACGTTGAGGGCCGAGCAGTTGCTTTTAGAATAACCCTACCGGCCCAGCAGGCCAAACATAGTCAGCAGGCCCGTGGCTGCGGCGGCGCCGGTGCGGCGGCCACGGCCGATGATGCGTCCGAACTCGCCCCGTTCCCAGATGACGACGAACTGGCTGGCGATGAAGATGGAACTGTAGGTACCGACGATCACGCCGATGGCTACTACCAGCAGCAACTCACGGATGCTGGAGCCGCCAATGAGCAGCATGGCCAGCAGGACGGTGAAGGTGGTGAAGCTGGTGTTGATGGACCGGCCCACCGTCTCCACGATGCTCAGGTTGACCACCGTATCCAGGGCGCGGTCCGGGTAACGTATGACGTTCTCGCGAATGCGGTCGAAAATAACGATGGTGTCGTTGACGCTGTAACCGGCCACGGTCAGGATGCCCACGATGAACATGGAGTTGACTTCTATGTTGAGTACCCGCCCCAGGATTGAGAAGACGCCCAGCACCAGCAGGGTGTCGTGAATCAGCGTCAGGATGGCGCTGATGCCGTAGCGGTAGGCTCGGGGCACCCGCCGGAAGGCATACCAGATGTACAGCAGGATGAACACCGAGGCGGCGGCCAGCGCGATAATTGCGTTTCGCACCGTTTCCTGGGCGACGATGGGCGAGGTGGAGTCGAAGTTCACCGCCACCACAGGGGCCACGTTCTGGGTCAGGTCGTCCTCAATTAGCTGGCGCTCGGACCTCCCCGCGGTCGTGTCCTCTCCCAACACCTTGGTTCGGACCAGAATGGTGCGGCCCCCGGTGCGCTGGATCAAAGCCTCGGGATGGCCCAGGGCTTCCATGCGCTGCTGCACCTCGTCCTGGGACACGGTACGCTCAAAGGTAATGTCCATCACCGAACCGCTGGTAAAGTCGATACCGGGCCGCAACCCGGAACCGCCAACCGCCCAGCCGCCCGGCGGCATGGCCAGGGAGATGATCCCCGGGATAAGGAGCAGGGCGGAAAATACGAAGTACCAACCCCGCTTGCCTACGATGTTATACATTGCTTAAGTCCTCCCTAAACCTTGCGGGGCTATCTGATCTCCGCTCATGGTGAGCTTGCCGAACCGCGCCAATCCGGAGTCGCTTTCCTTCAACACGCTCGGAATGAGCAGTACTTTTCTTGTATTGCGAGTCGCTTTCATGCTTTTGCCTAAACGTTGCGGGGTTGTCCGGCGCCGCCCGGGCGGCCGCCAGCGGTCAGGGTCGGCGTCCCTTCAGGACTGAACAGGTTAAGGCTCCGGCCCAGCCCGATCCACGCCATCAGTTGCAGCAGGTTACGGCTGACCACGATTGCAGTAAACATGCTGACCACCACGCCGATGAACAAGGTGAAGGCAAAGCCGGTTACCAGGTCGTCGGCAGTACGACTGCCCAGCCACAGCAGCACCAGACAGGTGATGATTGTGGAGAAGTTGCCGTCGCGAATGGCCGGCCACGCCCGGCTGAAACCCACCTCCATGGAGGAGGCCAGGGTGCGGCCGATGCGTATCTCTTCTTTCATACGCTCGAAAATCAGGATGTTGGCGTCCACCGCCAGACCGACGGACAGGATGAAGGCGCCGATGCCCGACAGGCCCAGGGTAACCGGCACCAGCTTGAATACCGCCAGCACTACCACGGCATAGAAAAGCAGGGCGAAGGCCGCCACCACGCCGGCCATACGGTAGTAGGCAATCATGAACAGCAGCACCAGGCCCAGTCCTATGATGCCGGCCAGCAGGCTCTTTTTCAGGGACTCTTCGCCCAGCAGGGCGTCCACGTCGCTTTCCTGGATCAGTTCCAGGGGCACGGGCAAGCTACCGGCTTCCAATTGTATGGACAGGGTGCGGGCCTCTTCGCGCGAGAAGTTGCCGGTTATCGAGCTTCGACCGTCGCGAATCCAGGCCAGGGAAACCGGGGCAATCAACAGGTCGTCGTCCAGGAATACGCCGATGCGCTTGGTCTCAACTCCTACGATACGCTGGGTCAGGTCGGAGAAGATCCCGGTGCCCCGATCGTTAAAGGCGATGTTGACTTCCCACTCCCCGGTGTTGGGGTCGGTGGAGGCGAAGGCGCTTTCCAGGTCGTCACCGGTCAACCCGATTTCGGCGTCAGTGAAGGTAAAGCAGGTTACATCGGAGCAAGTACGCTCCTTGAACACCAACTGGGCCGTCTGGCCGATGAGGGCCTTGGCCGTCTCGATTCCGCCGGTGGTCTGGAAGGAATTCACCGAGCCAATACCGGAGGACAGGGCGCCGCGCAGCGCATTCTGCTGGTTTACGTTCAGGGAAGTGGTGCGAATCTCGTAGCTGGTTTCCGATTGGGACTCCACTGCGAAGTCATCGAAACCCTGTCCGGCCACTATCCCTTCAACGGCGGCCGCGTCGGTAGCCTCGGCAAATTCGACCTCGGAAATAGAGCCGCTGGCCCCGGGCAACTGCACGATGACCCGGTCTTCGCCAAAGAGCTGAATGATGGGCTCCTCGGTTCCGAAAAGGTTGACGCGGCGGTTAATCCGGTCCAGCACACCCTCCATCTGGTCGGGAGTGGGCGCCTGGGTCTCGGACAGGAAGTAGGACGCCACGCCGAACTCGGCAACGGAAAATTCGACCAGATCACCCACCGATTCAGCCAGCGCCGTCTCAAGCTCCCCCTGCCGGTCTGCGTCCAGGGACGAGGTTGTGGTTATGCGGTAGAAGTTTTCCGAGCCCGTCTGCTCCACCTGGTAATTCGCCAGTTCCTGGTCCTGGGCAACTCCGGTAACGGCTTCTGACCCCGAAAGGTCCAGGTCCGGGTCGAAGCTGAACTCGACCTCGGAATAGGTTATGGCTTCCTCGATACCCTCTTTGGTGGCATCGTCCAGCAGGCCAGTAATAACGATGTAGGTGCGATCGTCCAGAGGCCGCACCTCGTAATCGGTAATGCCCAGGCCGTCCAGAGCTTCCTCGACTACTATGCCCCGGGTAGGGTCGGCAAACCCCGCCTCAATTCGCGTGCCCGTGTCGGCCTGATACACCAAGTGTCCGCCGCCACTCAGGTCAAGACCCAGCTTGAGACCCAGGGGGCCGTCCCCGCCGCGCACCAGGGCGGGAAAGCCCGGGACGTTTATGTTGATGTCCCGAAAGCCCAGGGAGGCCACGGAAAGGGCCACGATGAACACGATAAGAATAGTAAGCTGGACACTGCGCCTGCGCATTAATTACTCCTTTGTTTGTGTCCCTACCGGACACGAAGGGGCACGAAGGGACCGGCGAACTCTTTGACAGTCCCCTCGTGCCCTTGCATTATCTTCAATTCAGGCTGGCAGCCAGGGCCAGGGCATCCTCCCGGGTTGCGATCTCCCCGGCGGCCCGTGCCTCGTCGATCTGCTCCAGCAACCTGCCTATACGCGGTCCGGGGAGCAGGTTCAGGTGCTGCATCAGGTCGTGGCCGCTCAAAAGCCTCTGGGGTCCCCTGGCCGGAGCCTGCTCCTGGCCTGCCTGCAGCAAATCACTCAACATTCTAGCATGATTGGCCCAGTGGTCAGCTACGACCTCCGGCCCCTTGGCCGCCAGATAATCGGCCATGGCGAGGTAAATGGTATCAATTGCCACGTCCCGCACGTCCCGGTAGTAGCGATGCACCGCCCTTGGCGTCGGATTTTCTTGCCCGTTTCGCAGCTGGGACGGGCGCAGATGATGCTCCACCATCCTGGCCACCATGGAAACTGTCCTGGCGCTGAACCGTAGCTGGGTCAGCCGGTCGGTTACCATTTCTGCTCCCAACTCGGAGTGGCCCAGGAAGCGGATTCGCCCGGTCTTGTCCGGCCCCTTGGTCTGGGGCTTGGCTATGTCGTGAAGCAGGCCAGCCAGCTTGAGCACGGTGCGGCGACTGAAGCCGTCCCCAACTTCTTCCGCAAAGTAGTCCGCCACCTCCGCATTCCAGGGGGTCAGTGTGTAGATGGCCGAGTTCTGGTGGCCACCGGTGACCATCTCGGCAAATTCGACCGTGTGGAGGTTGTGGTTCCAAACGTCCCAGTAGTGGGCGCTGGGCTGGTCCACACCCTTGGTCAACTCTAACTCCGGGATGATTCGGCAGAGCAGGTCCAGCCGGTCGAGGACTTCCAGTTGGCCCCGGGCCCCGTCTCCCGAAAGAATTGTCATAAGTTCGTTGCGGACCCGCTCCGGAGCCACCCTGCCCAGTTGAGGGGCGTCGGCCCGGATTTGACGGACCGTTTCCGACTCCAGCATGAACTTGAGCTTTCCGGCCAAACGGGGCGCCCTCAGCAGGCGGCCCGGTTCGCCAGAGAACACCTGGTCATTGACCATCCGCAGACGTTTGCGTGCCACATCCTCGCGCCCACCAAAGGGGTCAACCAGGTCCGACACCCACTCACCGGCAGGGACAGGCCAGTCCTCAGCTTCGCTATTTAAGAGAAACGGAATGGTCGAGGGGCAGGCCCATGGCATTGACGGTAAGGTCCCGCCTGGCCATGTCTTCTTCGATAGTTCCAGGATAGTCAACCAGGTCAATTACAACTTGACCTGATACATCTTCCGAGTCCGGCTTCAAAATAACCTGGTAAACGCCACGGGCCAGGTTATGGGGCTGGCAGGTGCCGCCCAGATGGTGGGCCAGTTCATTTCCGATTTCCTGAACGGAACCCGATGAAGGATTGACGGGTATGGCAATATCCAGGTCATGAGGGCCGGAGGAAGGCCCGGGTTCGGCAATCTCGCCCCTCAGGAGAGAGTCTCGAAGGAAGCCGCCCACCAGGAAGGCGCCTTCCCGGCGACCGGAGAAACGGGCAGAAAAGAACTGGGCGATTTGAGTAAGAATGGCCGGTATTTCCTGACGGGTGAAGACGGGCTTCACCGGATAGCGTTGGCGGCGAGGGAGTTGAGCAGTTTTTCCCTTGTTCGGCTCAATTTTGGGTGCAAATTGGGTACCAGGAAAGACTCATTGGGGCAATACCGCTGGGCATGCCCTTTATTCGGGTTTCTCCTCGGACTCCTGAGGTTCTGTGACTTCGGTGTCATCTTCCGCAGGTTCCTCCGGATCGCGCTCGTAGCTTATCTTCCAAAGGGCATCGCGAGAAACCAGGTGATCAATATACAGGATGCCATTCAGGTGGTCGGTCTCGTGTTCCAGGGCCTGGGCCAGCAGGCCATCGGCCCTGATGCGGACCATTTTGCCGTTGAGGTCCAAGGCCCGGGCCCTCACCCGCTCAGAACGTTTGACCGTGCCCCGATATCCCGGAATGCTCAGGCAGCCTTCCTCGACCTCTCGTTCTCCTTCGCGCCGGATTATTTCGGGATTTATCAATATCAGGGCTTCGTCCCACTCGGGCAATTGAATGACCGCGACCTTTTGGAGTCCGCCGACCTGATTGGCGGCCAGGCCAACTCCATGCTCGGAGTGCATGGTTTCCACCATATCGTCGGTGTACTGCTTCATATTGGCCGGAATCTGGGTGATGCGCCGTGCCTGCTGGCGCAAGATGGGGTCGGGTACATGCCGCATGGTCAATCGGGCCAAAGTGGGATACCTCCCGGAAGAGTTCTGCTGGCTCCGACTACGATGCGACGTGCCGGATTCGGCCCATAATTATAGGCATGGTAACCATAAAGTGCAAAGTCCAGCTACGGCTTTACGTCCACCACAAGTTCCAAAGCGGTTCACTACAGCAGCGCATGGGGGTAGGTTCAGCGTCCTGGCGGATTGAAAGGCGGCATGGGAGGTGGAAAGTCAATTGAATCGTCGGCGCGGGCTTCCTCTTCAGAGACGAGCAGGCGATTGATAGTTCGCTCCCGTTCAGGCGAAGGATTGTAGTAGGGGTTTGGCCCTTGATCTCTAATGTCCCACAGCGATTCGATTAGCCGGGTTACGTCAGCCAAAAGATCGTTCAATAGGGGATCGCCTAACCGGTCCTCATAGTAATTCTCGTGTAGTTGATCTGCGATCGCCTGCAAATGCCTTAGTTCTGGCTGACCAAATTCGTCAGCAACCAGATCAATTATGTCGCGCCGGAGGTTGTGGGAACTATGCCGCCAATTGCGGTCTTCCGCGATGGCCTTAACGACCTGGGCAACAGCGCCGGATGCCTTATCCGACGCCTGAACTCTATCTCCCATTGTGTGCATCTCATAGTTGGCCTGCTCAATCAGGCGATGGCTGAGTTCTGCGTGACGATTGGCATTCGCGAGAGACATAGAGAAACCGCTCGGGTCGATAATCCTGATAATCGTGCTGTAGCCAGTGTAGCCACCACTTGCCTGATCAGTCCATACATAGCATTGGGATGCTTGGGCGGCCGCCAGGTATAACCCTCGAGGCCATGAATGCGCTCTACAGCAGTTCCACCGGATCCACATCTATGATTACATCCTTCGTTGGCAGCTCTACACCTTCCAGGAAACGGTGGAGGTTGCGCCCACGCAGAAGCAGGTTCCACCGGTACCGGCCCCGCACCCGTGGCGGAATGCCGGGGACCGGTCCTATTACACTTACGGTCGTCAGACCCTGCGACTTGATACGCTCCTTGAGGAGACGGGCGAGGCTAATAGCCTGGCGCTGACAGGTGGTCGGGTTTGAGTCCTGGAACAGCAGCCGCACCAGGCGGTTAAAGGGAGGATTGCCCAGGTGCCGGCGGCTGGTGATTTCCGTCTGGAACAGGGCCGCATAGTCCTGGCGGGCGGCGGCAGCCACCGCATAGTGCTCCGGGTTATAGGTCTGAATAACTGCCCGGCCCGGGTCGGGGCCCCGGCCGGCCCGCCCAGCCACCTGGCACAGCAACCCAAAAGCCCGTTCACCGGCCCGGAAGTCAGGTCGATAAATGCCGATGTCGGCCAGCACGACACCCACCAGGGTTACGTTGGGCAGGTCGAGACCCTTGGCCACCATCTGGGTACCCACCAGCACCTGTACTTCGCCTTCAGCAAGCCGCCGCATAGCCTCTTCGGGGGTAAGCCCGTTTCGGGCAGCATCCGAGTCCCACCGCTGCACCTCTACACCGGGGAACATGGATTTGACCTCATCCACCACTCGCTGGGTGCCGATTCCCAGCTGGCGGATGTTCTTGCCCTGGCACTGGCGGCAGAGGCTCGGCATTCGGGTGCGCCGGTTGCAACGGTGGCAGCGCAGCCTGGAGTCGGAAGAGTGGTAGGTGAGAGTTGTGGTACAACCACTGCAGGTAACCACGTATCCGCAGTCCCGGCATTGGACCATGGGCGCGCTGCCCCTCTGGTTCAGAAACAGGATTGCCTGTTGGCCCTGTTCAATACACTCGGTAAGGCCATTGGTCAAGGAGCGGCTGAAGATGCTGCGGTTTCCCTGGCGGAGTTCCTGCCGCATATCCGCGACTTCAACCCTGGCCAACCCAATATCCTCTGTATCAGCGTCGGTCGATGACTCCAGGGTCCCGGTGTAGCCCCCTCGTCGGCCCGGGGCCGCGCCGGTTTCGCCGTTGAAACGAATACGCTGTGGCAATTCCAGCAGCCGGTAATGGCCCCGGCGGGCATGGTAGTAAGACTCCACGTCGGGGGTCGCGCTCCCCAGCAGCACCGGAGCGCCGGTCATACGTGCCAGTTCCATGGCGGCTGTCCTGGCGTGATAAAAGGGGTGGCCTTCCACCTGCTTATAGGTCCACTCGTGCTCTTCGTCAATGACAATGAGGCCAAGATTGGGCACGGGTGCGAAGAGAGCACTGCGCGGACCAACAACGACATCGTAGTCGCCGTCGCGAATCTGCCACCACTGATCGAATTTCTGACGGTCGGTGAGGCCGCTGTGGGTGACCGCTACTTTGCCGGGAAAACGGGCATTGACCCGCTGCACCGTCTGCGGTGTCAGGGCAATCTCAGGTACGAGGAAAATAGCCTTCTGTCCCAGCGCGACTGTCCTCGCGATGGCCTGCAAGTAGACTTCCGTTTTTCCACTGCCCGTCACGCCATGCAATAGAAATACTCTGGGCTGTTCAGTTGGGTCTTCCAGGGTTTCCAATACGCGCCGCAGTGCGTCTGCCTGAGCCATAGTCAGCAACGGAGGTACCTCAGGGATTCCGGGGATTGGCGTTTTTCCCCCATCGCCCGTCGGCGCTTCCGTTTCGTCCTCCACCAGGGCAGGACCTCCCACCACCGCACTTTCCTGCCGCACCCATTCAAGGCCCAGCAATCCCTTTTCGACCAAAGAGTCCCCCACCCCGGACCCGAACTCCCGGTTGGCCAGGGTGGTGGAATATCCAGCCTTTTGTTCCCGAACGGCATGAAGCAGTCTTTGCTGCCGCTCCGGCATTCTGACCGTCAGTTCAGGCCAGTTGCCCAGGGAGTCCGGTGCGCCGGTGGGGAATAAGTGGGTAGCGTACCTGAAGCTGCGCGGCCGAGGGAGGGTGACCCGCCGGTGGACATAGCCCTTATCCGCCAGGCGATTAATTTCGCGAATACCTGACCTGCCCAGGAGCTTGGCAAAGTCCGCTTCGGCCATCCGACGTCGTTCGGCCAGGGAATTCAGCGCTTCGCGGGATGCAGGTTTCAGTTGGTCCAGATCGTTGTCTGGAACAGGCAGCGGAACAACCTGGGAACGGACCTGGGCCTTGAAGCCGGGGGGCAGAAAGAGGGCAATGGCGTCGAACAGCGAACAAAAATAGTACCGGCTAAGCCAACGGGCCAGGGCAAGAGCGTTGTCATCCAGCAGCCGACCGGGTTCCACGGGTTGAAGAATGTCCCTGGTTACTTCCACCTGCGGAGCGTCGGCCAACTCCATGACCACCCCCTGCAAGATGCGACGTCCAAACGGAACCCAGACCAACTGGCCGGGTTCTAACCGGAAACGTTCGGGGATGCTGTAGGAAAAGGTCCGTGAATGATCAACCGGGGCGTCGACCGCTACTTCTGCGTATCTGGTCATAAGCGCTGGCTATCGGTGGAGATGTATGAGTGACTTGCCCGCAACAACGCCTGGCGGACTCGGCAGGTTACGTGGGTTGGTCGGGCTATGCCCCGGATTAAGTAATGGCTACCCTCATTTTTCTGGACCCGGTGAGGGGTACGGAGGGCAGGAACCTCCGATTATTGGAGAACCCGCCCCGACTTTGGAGCCCTGGAAAACCTGGCTTTCGAACCACCATCTTGGCGCCCGAAATGGGAATCAATATCTATGTTGCTCCCTTCAATCAGGCAGAAACAACCGAGACTATTCAGGCGCCGTGAACTCTGACTTAGCAATTTGGCCCAGGAAAAGGCCTGGGCCCTAACTGGCGCTTGGCCCCCGGGGCCGCCGGGGGACGGTCTTTTCCTTAATACGAGCGGCGCGACCCTGCAAGCCACGCAGGTAGTAGAGCTTGGCCCGACGCACGGCGCCCCGGCGGGTAACTTCAAGGGAGTCTATCAAGGGAGAGTAAAGGGGGAAAATCCTCTCTACCCCGATACCACCGCCGGCCATGCGGCGCACGGTAAAGTTGGCCGAAGGTCCAGTACCGTTCTGGCGGCGAATTACCACACCCTGAAACGCCTGGATACGCTCTCTTTCACCTTCACGAATCCGGAAATTCACGCGTACCGTGTCACCGGCGCCAAACTCGGGAATATTGGGGTTGCTTTCTGGCTGCAATACTTGGGCGGCTTCCATATCTATTAATAACTGCCTTTTTGTGATGTATCAGGTGTTAAGACACTGCTATTAAACACTACGCGGTGCCAAAGGGAACTCTATGCACCCGGTCAATAAGAATACCACACGAGGAGCGGAAATGGCAGGTCTTCAGCGCCACCTGTTCCGCTCAGGAAATGGCTGTCCGGAAGTTCTCAGGTATTTACGGTTCGCCTCAATTTCGTTTCCATATCGCCCACTGGTCCGGCCCTTAGTGAAGAAAATAATATGGTACTATGGGGCAAATTCAAAAGCGGGCAACCGCAGATTCACAAACAAGTGTGTTGCCAATCGTCGATAATTAGGAGGAACCGTTATGCCATTTGGAGGCAATGACTGGCTGGCGCTGACCCAGGAACCTACGCTGGAGCCCGGGTTGCCCATCTGCGACCCTCACCACCACTTTTGGGACTACCGCAGTGAGCGCATTCCCTACCAGCGATACCTGATTCACGAGCTTGCCGATGACATTAACAGCGGCCACAACGTGCGGTCCACCGTGTTCATCGAGGCCCGCTCCATGTACCGACCCGACGGTCCCGAGCAAATCCGGTCCGTGGGGGAAGTGGAGTTTGTCCAAGGCATTGCGGCAGCCAGCGCCAGTGGCATCTACGGCGAGGGTCGGGCGGCGGCGGCCATCATCGGCGCAGCCAACCTGGACCTGGGCGCGGCAGTGGAGTCGGTATTGGAAGAACTGCAGGAAGCCAGCCCCAACCGGTTACGGGGCATCCGTTCCGCCACCGGTTACGATCCTCACCCTGAAATAGAGAGCCGCGCGGCCCAAGGGCGCATGGCCAACCCCAACTTTCGAACCGGAGCCCAAGTGCTGGCGCGCAAGGGACTGGTTATGGACATCACCGCCTATTTTCACCAGGCCGAGGAACTGGCCGATTTCGCCCGGGCCGTCCCCGATCTGCCCCTGATTTTCAACCACATTGGCGGCCTGCTGCGAATTGGCCCCTACGCCAACCGGGACGACGAGGTGCTGGCCCAGTGGCGCAGCGGCATCGATACCGTGGCCACGTGTCCCAACATCTACATGAAGCTAGGCGGTGTGGGCCAGCCACGCTATGGCTTCGACTGGCACGAGTGGAACCGGCCCATCGGCTCCCAAGCCCTGGCCGACGCCCTGAGTCCGTTGATGAACTACTGCATCGAAAAGTTGGGGCCGGAGCGTTGCATGTTCGAAAGCAACTTCCCGGTGGACAAGGTGTCCTACTCCTACAACGTGCTGTTCAACGCCTTCAAGCGCCTTTCGGCTGGCTACTCGTCCAGCGAGCGGGCCGCCCTATTCCACGACACGGCCGTGAAGGTGTACGGGATAGACTACCGGTAGGGAATACAGGCGATGACTAACAGCGGGCGAAAAGATACATCGCATAACTACTGACAGGCGGCTCCTTACGAAAGACACGGAGCCAATGCTTAAATGTTGTCCATATGGTTGGACAACGACGACAGCGAGAACCGGTCTGGATCGTCGCCCGAGCATGGTTGCCTTGGTGTATGGCGCTTATTTTCTTGCTGACCATTGGTTGGACGGCTTTCGTGGCTTGGGTTGAGGCAACCCAGTTCAGCCACCCAACCGCGTCTTTAACGGCAATTGCAGCGGTCGGGAAAAGTTCCCCTGCAATCCCCTTAATTGCGGCGTTCTCGATATGCGGCGTTCTCGACAATGGTAGTTACTCTGGCCGACGTAGCGGGAGGTTGGGTTTTGGTCACCAAGAGATTTCTTGAGGAAAAGTTCTTGAATCCCTGGTTGGAAAAACGCAAGGCAGAGGCCAGAGCCCAAACCGAACAAGCAGACCGCGTTGATCGACATTGGCGGTCCTGGTACGAGCGGCAACAGTCAACTTTGGCCAAGGGCGAAACCTTTTAGCGAGCCGCCGCCTGACGCTGATTCCTTTAGCGAAGGTCCCGAATTTTATTAGCAGCATTGCCCAAGCTGACATTCTCCACACGATTCGCAAGGACAGTAATTCTATGAGCGCAACCCAAACCCTGGCCCAGTTCATTGCCGACACAGAGTACGAAGCTCTCCCAGTCCCGGTAGTTGAAGCTGCCAAAATTGCCATCCTGGACGGTGTTGCCAACATGGTTGCCGGTTCGGTGCAGGAGTTGGCTGACATCATAGGCCGCTACGTTCGGGACAGCGGTGGCGCCCCCCAGGCCTCAGTCATAGGCTGGGGCTACAAGAGCAACCCGCCGGCCGCCGCCTTCGCCAACGGCGTCTTCGGCCACTGCCTGGACTACGAAATTCAGGGGTTCCCGCCCACCCACGGCACCTCGTCCTGCCTGCCAGCGGCACTGGCTCTGGCGGAACAGCATCGCGCCTCCGGCAAGAGCATCATCACCGCTTATGCGCTGGGCTGGGAGATCCAGGGGCGACTGCGGGCCGCTTCAGCCCAGGCTACCGCACCTGGCCACCATCCGCCGGGCCTGGTGGGGCCCCTCGGCGGCGCAGCGGCCGCGGCCAAGACATTGGGCCTGGACGGGCAACAAACCCTCATGGCCTTGGGTATCGCCGCCTCTCGCACCGGTGGCCTCACCGCCAACACCGGCACAATGGTCAAGTCCACCCACCCCGGCAACGCCGCCCGCATGGGCGCTGAATCGGCCATCCTGGCCGGCATGGGCTATACCGCCAGCGACGAGGTCCTGGAATCGCCGGTGGGGTACGCCGCCGCCCTGTTTGGCGGGAATTTCAACTGGGACGCGGCCACCGGCCATCTGGGAGATTCCTGGCGATTGACCGACCCCGGCTTTGACATCAAGCGATTTCCGGCCCAGGTATACATGCAGAATGTTATCGAAGCTGCCCTGAATCTACGGGAGGAAAACGGCCTTGACCCTGAAGCTATCGAGCAGGTAACCATTCAGCGCCAGGGCCGGGGCCACTCCGGTCCGGTGCCCCGCAGCGGCCTGGACGGCAAATTCAGCGTGGAGTACTGCGCCGCCGCCGCCCTGCTGGACGGCCAGGTGGACATCGACACCTTCACCGACGAACGCCGCTTTGCTCCAGACATGGAAGAGATGCTGGGCCGCATCAATGTTGTGCCCGAGGGCCCCGAATCCGGCGCTACCCTGTCTACCGCCCTTCTTAAGAACGGCAGCACGGTAACCGCCGAATGCAACGCCTTCCGGGGCTCGGCGAAAAACCCCATGTCTCGCGATGAACGACTGGTAAAGGTACGCGACTGTTTTAACCGCGCCCTGTCCGATGCGGACACCGAGAAGGTAGTTGAAATGATGGAGAACCTGGAAAGCGTAAATGATGTTGCGGAGTTGATGGGCGTGTTGGGGCAGGTGGCGGTTAGCCGGGATTAAGTTCCAAAGATTAGAAATGCTCTCCGGTCTCCTGCCAGGTGTTGCTTTCAGCTGCCCAAAAAGATCAACCCGCGGGTGAACGTCGGGGACAAGCGTCCTACATTTCTTCTTCCGACACAATCGCCATACCCGGGCTCTTCTTGCTCTAATGGGCCAACGGACTTTTGTTTCCGTTGGCCTTTTTTCGGTGCAAGTACTCTTGCTGGGCGGCTATCAAGCAAATGTCCTTCGTCTGCAAAGGAACCCCGACACGCTTACCTGCGTGTCTTCCCCTTTCCGAGTCCGCGTTTCGGAGTAGCTGGTCCTCCACGCCTGGTCGTCTGCTGATCAGTTCACTACAAAGAACACATTCTTGATTTCTCCTTCGACCCAACCCGGGCTGGCATCCAATCGCCACAAATAATAGCTATCTGTTGCACCATAAGAGGAAGCGTCGGATATCAGGTACTGCTCAGTTCCCACTTCAAGGAAAGCATTGCCTGGCAGAGGCTTGTCCACCAGGAAAAACAGGTAATGATTGTCGCCGGTAAAGTCAGGGTGGCATATGGCAGAGATGGTGTATATTTCGGAGTCAATAGCGAACGTATCCTGCGACAAACTGCCGGCGTCCTCCCAGCGTTCATCGTCAAGGTTCAAATACCCCAGGTAATCGTAGGTCAGTTGGTCGTTTACCCCCACGGTCAGCTGAGCATCCCAAACCTGTGTCTGTGCATAGGCCGGTTGACCGCCTGAGGCCATGAACAGCACCAAGGCCAGTGCCGCAAACAGTCCGGCCGGGATGGACATCCTCACTTTTCTCTTGGATTCAACCGGCGTTCTGATGAATCTGCTGTTTGATATCTTCGACCAACCGCTCATGCTCTTCACCTCTCATCCCGCTTGAAAAACGGGTTCGTTATTAACTATTCAGCTTTTAAGGAACTGGCCCACTTTCGGGAGAGGGACCTCGCCCAATTAAGTCGGCTTGGGACAAGCCTCAACCAGGCTCTGGCCCAGTCGTGGAAACTTGTTGGAAATCCAGGAAAGGGCCCGACAAGATCTCGGGCAATCGTTGATTAGGTGAGGCATCTGCAACATGTCTTGCATTACGATATACTTCTTAGTTCCGTGCTAGATTAACTTTTTATTTCTAATATATCTTTATGTCTTATGTCTTTCGTTAACCCTCTGTCAAAGGCCATATAAACCCTGCACGTCTGGCTGTCAAGATACCTAGGGAATCGATAATCCCTGTCTTTGACGGTGCCGGAACGCCTAAAGGAATCATCCAGAGCAGGTGGTTATAGCCCTCTACAGGCTGCAACAGGTACGACGAAGAGCCAAAACAGGGGTCCGGACGGCCACATAAAGACGCCAAGATCGAGTCAGTTTGGACAGCAAAAAGTTCACGCATGAATTTCTTGACACTGCCTGGCCACGCGGGCGATTGCCGTCTCTAATTGCCTTGCGAGGCTATCGACCGGCAATGCCACAGTAGCCGAGGCAATAGCTTTGCAATGCACCTAGATAGTCTGGAGGAATACTGGCCGGAAAAGCAGTGGCAGGAGTTTACGCGCTACGCCAGCAGACGATCTTCCAGTCTATCTACGGCCATGGTAATGGTAGTATAATACGCGTCAGAACATGTTACATCGACATATCGACGTGAAGAAAACGGCGGCTGAGGGTGGGAGACATCGTTCCGGCCAGCTGTCTAGCAAAGCACGCTCTACCACACGCACAACTGACCGGCGGGGACCGCCTGTTACCGGGCCAGGTCCGACGAAGGCGAGCCTGCGAGTATGCGGGGTAGAGGAAGTGAGTGGAGACCGGTGAAGTGGAGAACGGAAGCGCGACGCTTTCGGCCCCAGCCACGAACGCCAAGGTTCGGTGTAAAGAAGGACGGTAAGTGCGCGACGCTCTACGCACCTGCCAGAGGGCGACAGGGAGGGGGTGATGTAAATGCTGGCGGCATGAAAAGTCCGATGACGACGATTGTTGGGGAGTTATGGGGGAGTGGGGATCTGCGTAGTGGAAAGCAGGGGAGCGACTGGGACAAC